TCACTCTTCCTTCCACAGCTAATTAAGGTCAACTCACTCCACCTGCTGCTGCTCTGAGGACTGCCTGATGGTGTATTTAAGCTCCTGCCAGACAACTCTTCAGTGCTGGGACATCATCTACCAAATGGTAATTTGAGTACAGCCAACTAACTTTTTGTTGCAGCTGGTTCTCACCAACTGATTCCTCCAGGACCTTCCACGGCCTGCCTCTTCAAGTCCTCCCTAGGACCTCATCTCTCCACTGGACTCCACCTGTGGATCAACGGTGTCCCTTCAACAATCATCTTCAAACAAATATCAACTGGGTCAACCTGCTCCTCTCTCCACCATAAATTACCTCCAAACCGGATCCTCTGCAAACCCAGGACCTCTCCTCTCATCTCCTTCTCGGCCTTCAGTTATTCTCTTTCTCAAGGATTCAATATTTTAAATACAAACAGAACCCATACTCACCTTGTCCTCTTCTCCCTTACAGCTGAGACGACACAATCACCTGTAAATAAACTTCACTTACCTTTTGTACTCCTGACTCTGTCTTTACTGAATCGGTCTGCTTACTTGAGGGTAGACGTTGATACAAACCTGATAGTATGTAATGGTAAATGGACTGTACTTGTATAGCTCCTTTCTATCTTATTGAGATACTCAAAGCTCTTTATAATATAATCTGTGTCCTCATTTACCCATTCATACAGCACTCTACTAGATCTCTACAAAGCTAGTTGAACAACTCATTTTAAAGAGCTTAATCAGTGTTGTATCACATTCATACACTGATGGGACACACATCAGAGGCAATGAGGGGTTCAGTGTCTCACTTTGGCATGTGACTGCTGGTGGATTTGAACCCCCAACTCTTGCATTAGAGGACGGCTGCTCTAACCACTCAGCCACAGCCGCCCATGTATGTAAGGAAAGGAACCTTTGTGGAGATATGTGTGTATGTAGGGTGAGAATTCAGTTATCTGGGAGAGACTCGGGAGTAGAACCACTGCTCCTCCACATCAAGAAGAGCCAGTTGAGGTGGTTTGGGCATCTGGTAAGGATGCTCCCTGGGCACCTCCCTAGGGAGGTGCTTCTGGCATGTCCAACTGGGAGGAGAACCCGGGAAGAACCAGGACACGCTGGAGAGACTACGTCTCTCAGTTGGCCAGGGAACTCCTTGGGGTCCTCCCAGAAAAGCTGGAAGAGGTGGCTGTGGAAAGTGATATCTGGGCCTCCCTGCTCAAGCTGCTGCCCCCACGACATGACTTCAGAATAAGTGGAAGATGAATGGATAGATGGACGGATATGTATATGACAATGGCCAACTTGGATTTTAACATGGTAACCTACTTTTTGAAAGGAACCTTTTGTGGAGATTCTGGGGTTTTTGCACCTGCACTGACTCTTCTTGCATCTCCTGAGTGGCAGGGCAGAACCAATCATCCTCAGCTGTTCCAGTCCTGTTGACCAGGACCCTCTGTATCTAAGGTTGCCTGGACCATCTAGTTTCCACTAGAACATTGCCTTAACTTGATAATTTGTCCAGCCCAAGTGAGATCTGGTCTTTATCCCAGATCAAACTTACCTTGGTTTTCCTCGTGCTCCTCGCAGCTCCTGATCCTCAGTAACTCGCTCCCTGAGACCTCCTCGTGAATCTTCCTCGAGTTCCCTGTGTCCTCCTGTGCCCAGCATCTGGATCAGCCATCTACATCTGTCAACAAGTTCCTCCTAAACATCACATCAAGCAGCCTTGAGGCCTGTCCTGCCACTCTCAGGAGAATCCCCTGGGCTTCTCTCTCCAAACCTGCAAACAATAAAATAAGAATTAAGCCAAAGAACACTCTCCCTGAGTAATCAACTATACTCACCATACCTCCTCTCCAGCTCCCTCCCGTGTTCCTGTATTTTTGTCACACTTAGCTTTTTATGCTGCCTGTGTCTCTCGTGTCTTAGTTTGAATTCGGTATCTTACTTTGTATTAATACAAATATAATGTTTTTTTTACACATACCTAGATGTTGCCAAACACTAAAATAAAAGTTTGTACCAGTGCTTAGAGCAGTCGTCCACCAATGCAAGAGTTGGAGTTTCGAATCCACCAGCAGTCACATGCTGAAGTGTTCCTGGGTAAGACAATGAACACCTCATTGACTCCAATGTGTGTCCCATCGGTGTATGACTGCGATAAAGCACTGTCTGATTAGTCTCTTTAGAATGATTTGTTCAATTTGCTTTGTAGAGATCTAGAGTTCTGTATGAATGGGTAAATGAGGACACCGATTGTAGTGTAAAGCACTTTGAGTGTCTTGATAAGATAGAAAGGTGCTATATAAGTACAGTCCATTTACCATTTATTTTTCAAGCTATCATACACAGTTGAATGGACAAATAGACGAAGGGTATTTCCAATTCCACCTCTGCTCCGCGACATGCGACAGTTCTCTAGTCACAAATTTCATCTTGCAACATCAACAATTACCAATAAATTATTTTGCGATATTTGTGTACCATCCATCCATCCATCCATCCATCCATCCATCCATCCATCCATCCA